GGAAATGCACAAATTCCCTGCTGGTAAACGATGACCCGTTATCTGTGACCAACATTTCCGGGAGCCCGTGTATTGCAAAAGACGCCCACAGCTTTTCTTTTGTCATCCCCATGTCTGACGTCTAGCCACTTTGTGTTGGCTTTGACAATAACTAAGAACGTTGAGCCCACAAAAGGATCGGCATAGTCAATATCTACCTGAGTCCAGGGTTTGCCCATCTGATCCCACAAATGCAGGGAAGCTGCTGGCATTAATTTTGTGCTTGTTGGCACTCTGGGCACTGCCCCACCAATGCAGCTACGTCTGCATCCAATCCTCGACAACATCTTCACTTTGGATGACCCTGGTGAATTTCAGCCTGTTAGCGTCCTTTACTCGGGACAATCGCTCTTGCTCCCCATAATAATAGGCCATATTCTCCTGTGACCTGGTCTCTCTGGGTCCAGGAAGGTTTCAGTTCTGGTTGTGACGACCCTTTGATATCCCCCATCTCCGTCAGCTGTTTCATGTTTTCACAAGACCGGATCTTTCTGCGTCCAAAGTCTAATATTGTCACCTGTGATGGGAAGTGCATCCAGAAAATTTAAAACCATGACAGAACCTTCCAGTGGTGGTGACCACCGGTGTGTACCTGCCAGCAGGAGGCAGCTTAATGCATTCACATTTGCTACTTGGCCTCCCGGAAGGTGTTACAACTTGTAATTATACACACTTATATTAGAGGCCACTGTTGAATTCAGCCTGAAATTATGGATGGCGCTGCCTTGTCCTCTTTAAGGAGACCCAGCAGGGGTTTGTAGTCCATTATTATTACAAATTTATTTCTGTAAATATAGTGGTAGAATGTCCTGACTCTGGATATGACCACCAAACCTTCCTTCTCTATCTGGGCATATTTACACTCTGCATTAGCCAATGTCCTGGATGCATACACTATTGGGCGTTCCTCTCCATTGGGCCACCTCTGAGCTAAAACCACCCCGATGAGGTATTGGGGAGGTATCGCATGTCAATACCAGATCTCGCTTGGGACCATACTGTGCCAACAGCTGAGAGGGTGATATCTATTTCTTCACTTGCCTGAAAACTATGCTTTGGCTACACAGCCATTTCTATGGCTGACCCTTTTTCTTCAAAAGATGATGCAAAGGTGTCAGGATGAAGGCCAGGTTATGCATGAACTTTCCAAATAATTCACCATCCCAGGGAAAGACCTAAGCTGTGGTAGAGTCATGGGAGCTGGGGCTCCTTTGATTGCCCTCACTATATCTGCGAACGGGTTTAACCCAGTCTTTTTAGACCAAG